GAGTGCACTATATTTTTGAAATAATAACTGAATAAAATACCATATTTGCATACTTCTATATCAGAAGCAATGGAACATAGAAATAAATAGGGTACCTTGTTAACTTTTCGTTTAAATATCAGTAACAATGTAAAAGTTACTTTGAGTCTATAATTATATACACCACTGCTGGTACAGGGTGGTGGATTTTAAAACGACGGTTTTGATCGGATTTTCCTGCTCTGATGGAAAGATAGAAGATGGTAGATCTATAATTGAAAATTTTAATCGATTGTCCAGCTTCGATCGAGAAGTAAAAAGTGGTGGGTTTTGAAGTTAGTAGACTCAAAATCGAAGATGATAGATTCAAAATCGAAGATAGTAGGCACAAAATCGAAGATAGTATACTCAAAATCAGAGATAGTAGATTCAAAATCGAAGATAGTTAATTCAAAACCGAGGATAGTAGACTCAAAATCGAAGATAGTAAACTCAAAATCAGAGATAGTAGATTCAAAATCGAAGATAGTAGACACAAAATCGAAGATAGTAGGCTCAAAATAGAAGATAGTTAATTCAAAACCGAGGATAGTAGACTCAAAATCAAAGATAGTAAACTCGAAATCAGAGATAGTAGACTCAAAATCGAAGATAATAGACTCAAAATCGAAGATAGTTAATTCAAAACCGAGGATAGTAGATTCAAAATAGAAGATAGTAGACTCAAAATAGAAGATAGTTAATTCAAAACCGAGGATAGTAGACTCAAAATCAAAGATAGTAAACTCGAAATCAGAGATAGTAGACTCAAAATCGAAGATAATAGACTCAAAATCGAAGATAGTTAATTCAAAACCGAGGATAGTAGATTCAAAATAGAAGATAGTAGACTCAAAATAGAAGATAGTTAATTCAAAACCGAGGATAGTAGACTCAAAATCAAAGATAGTAAACTCGAAATCAGAGATAGTAGACTCAAAATCGAAGATAATAGACTCAAAATCGAAGATAGTTAATTCAAAACCGAGGATAGTAGATTCAAAATAGAAGATAGTAGACTCAAAATAGAAGATAGTTAATTCAAAACCGAGGATAGTAGACTCAAAATCAAAGATAGTAAACTCGAAATCAGAGATAGTAGACTCAAAATCGAAGATAATAGACTCAAAATCGAAGATAGTTAATTCAAAACCGAGGATAGTAGATTCAAAATAGAAGATAGTAGACTCAAAATAGAAGATAGTTAATTCAAAACCGAGGATAGTAGACTCAAAATCAAAGATAGTAAACTCGAAATCAGAGATAGTAGACTCAAAATCGAAGATAATAGACTCAAAATCGAAGATAGTTAATTCAAAACCGAGGATAGTAGATTCAAAATAGAAGATAGTAGACTCAAAATAGAAGATAGTTAATTCAAAACCGAGGATAGTAGACTCAAAATCAAAGATAGTAAACTCGAAATCAGAGATAGTAGACTCAAAATCGAAGATAATAGACTCAAAATCGAAGATAGTTAATTCAAAACCGAGGATAGTAGATTCAAAATAGAAGATAGTAGACTCAAAATAGAAGATAGTTAATTCAAAACCGAGGATAGTAGACTCAAAATCAAAGATAGTAAACTCGAAATCAGAGATAGTAGACTCAAAATCGAAGATAATAGACTCAAAATCGAAGATAGTTAATTCAAAACCGAGGATAGTAGATTCAAAATAGAAGATAGTAGACTCAAAATAGAAGATAGTTAATTCAAAACCGAGGATAGTAGACTCAAAATCAAAGATAGTAAACTCGAAATCAGAGATAGTAGACTCAAGATCGAAGATAATAGACTCAAAATCGAAGATAGTTAATTTAAAACCGAGGGTAGTAGATTCAAAATAGAAGATAGTAGACTCAAAATAGAAGATAGTTAATTCAAAACCGGGGATAGTAGACTCAAAATCAAAGATAGTAAACTCGAAATCAGAGATAGTAGACTCAAAATCGAAGATAATAGACTCAAAATCGAAGATAGTTAATTCAAAACCGAGGATAGTAGATTCAAAATAGAAGATAGTAGACTCAAAATAGAAGATAGTTAATTCAAAACCGAGGATAGTAGACTCAAAATCAAAGATAGTAAACTCGAAGTCAGAGATAGTAGATTCAAAATCGAAGATAACAGATTTAAGATCGAAGCTATTAAGTAAAAAATGAAAGGTAGCAGGTACAGTAAGCCTAACACCGAAGGTTTTGTTCTAGTACACAGTACTACGTGGGCCCGACCAGCGACATCAGCGAGGAGGATTTGGCCGAGCTACCATCCTGCGTCTACGCAGGCAGATCCACCCAGCATGTTCCGCACACCTCTTCGCACACGCACTCGCCTTTACACTATCACATGCCTGTCTCCACACCTGGTAATCACCATGGCAGTCATAGATAAAGTCTGCACACTTCATTCGTTCGTAGCGAGTCCTGGAAAATAGAAATTCTGCTCAAAGTTTGCACAAGTGTTTGTTAATTCTAAATTGGGTTGTACTGGTTGTTAATTTCGAATTGAGTTACACTGGTTGTTAATTTTTAATTGGGTTGTACTGTTTGTTAATTTGAAATTGAGTAATACTATTTGTTAATTTGAAATTTGGTTCTACTGATTGTTAATTTGAAATTTGGTTCTATCGACTGTTAATTTTGAATTGGGTTGTGCTGGTTGTTAAATTGAAATTGGGTTATACTGTTTGTTAATTTGAAATTGGGTAATACTATTTGTTAATTTGAAATTTGGTTCTACTGATTGTTAATTTTGCTTTGGGTTGTACTGGTTGCTAAATTGAAATTGGGTTATACTGTTTCTTAATTTGAAATTGAGTAATNTTAAATTGGGTCGTACTGGTTGTTAAATTGAAATTGGGTTATACTGTTTGTCAATTTGAAATTGAGTAATCTATTTGTTAATTTGAAATTGAGTTCTACAGGTTGTTAATTTTGAATTGAATTGTAGTAGTCGTTAATTGTTGAATTGGGTTGTATCGGTAGTTAATTTTAAATTCGATTCTACCGTTTGTTAATTTGAAATTGGAATACATTGTTTGTTAATTTGAAATTGGGTTAAACTGTTTGTTAATTTTAAAATGGATTCTAGTTTTTGTTAATTTTAAATTGGGTCGTACTGGTTGTTAAATTGAAATTGGGTTATACTGTTTGTCAATTTGAAATTGAGTAATCTATTTGTTAATTTGAAATTGAGTTCTACAGGTTGTTAATTTTGAATTGAATTGTAGTAGTCGTTAATTGTTGAATTGGGTTGTATCGGTAGTTAATTTTAAATTCGATTCTACCGTTTGTTAATTTGAAATTGGAATACATTGTTTGTTAATTTGAAATTGGGTTATACTGTTTGTTAATTTTAAAATGGATTCTAGTTTTTGTTCATTTTAAATTGGGTTATACCGTTCGTTAATTTGAAATTAGATGAAACTAGTTGTTAATTTTAAAGTAATTTTGAAATGAAAAATAATGTCAGCGTTCGTTTCGATAGCTAAATTTAATTAAAGCAGCGTTTCGTCTTTCAACAGATCACAATGACACAGAAATAAATGGTGTCGAGGAGGGTTACTATCCAAATGGCAGCCCCTACAGAATCCAACGACACGCTGCTAACATAAGAGAAAGGAAACGTATGCTGAGGTGAGAAATTATTCTTAACACACTATACCTACTGACAGTTGTTTCATAGTTCCGAAAAATTAATAGCCAGAAATTAATATTATATGTACAATCAACATTAATAATTTACATAAAAGTAGCAAGTTGAGAAACAAGACTTTCTTCGGAAGTTTTTAATATGAGAATGGTGAACATATCAATGTTTAAAGCAAATTGTGAAATTTGTTAATGAAAAAATACTGAGTCTGTTCGAAATTACTACTACGGATAGTTAAAAGCTATAGTCAACGTTCTTTTATATAAAAATCAGAAATTCGGAAACAAGGCGATCTTTTCGAATATTTTTTTTTAAGCAAAAATAATAAACATATTACGTTGAAACTTTGTGAGCTTGTTCACTAACGTTTGGAATATATTGTAGAATTTTTTTATTACAACAATATTTATTCTGTTCGATGTTACTGCACTAGATAGTTAAAAATCAAACAAACAAATCTGAAATTCATCCACGACTTTTTCGATATCAGAAAAATGTTATCTAGTGCTGAGAGCTCATTTTACTCTTTAATCACAACTAGTTACGATGACAGACTTTATCCTCTATCGAGGCTAGCGTAAGGGATGAGTCGGTGTTAAAAAATTTGAATAAGCAAGTAAACGGATTGTCAGTTTGATTACGGTTTTTAGCAGCATCAACTCGGCTTTCGACGAACTACGAGTCCACGTACCAACGTTCCCGTACGAGAAAAGACTGTCGAAGATCGACACCCTGCGTCTGGCTATAGCGTACATAGCTCTACTGCGAGAAGTGTTGGCAGCGAGGCTCGACCCGCTTACATACGTCGAGAGGTGCCTTAGAGGAGAGATAAACGGGGAACGAGCTGAATGGAACACGAGTGGTCAGTATACGTTTAAACTACGATCATATTTTCGATTGATGAAAATTGTGCAACTTTTGTTCAAGCTTCGTTTATAGCTTTCACTCTTTTGAAGATACTGCACAAGAAGACTATTTTTATCATTATTTTTATCACAATTTTTATTACTATTTTTATCACTATTTCTGTTACTACTTTTATCGCTATATCTATCATTATTTTTATCACTATTTTTATCATTATTTTTATTACTATCTTTATCATAAAAATAATGATAAAAATAGTGATAAAACTTAAATAAACTCGCTTCTCTTCGATTGGCATTTCAACTTTATTTAGAATGGTCAATTAAAATTAATTTGGTAGAAATAGTGATAAAAATAGTGACAGAAAGAGTGATAAAAATAATGATAATAATAATGATAGAAATAGTGATAAAAGTAGT